GGGAGCGTGGGCGGGCGGGCGGAGGCCGGTCTCCCCAGGCGGGCGGGGGGCTGCGGCTCTGGAGAGGAGGGCGCAAGCGAGAGCTGCCTGCTCCGAGTGACAGCCGCAGAGCACACCGACAGTAGGCACGGGAGGGTCGGTACCACACGCGTGGGGCGGACACGAGCCTTTTCTTAAAATCATTTACAGATTTATTTATTTTCTGCTGTGAGGAATAACTCGGCCCTGCTGTAGCACATAGGCTGGCCTTAGGCTGTGAGGTGCAGACTGGCAGCAGTGCTGAAATCAAGCACGGGAATCAAAAATAGCACATACCTGCCTGCAAAATGCAGCAGGATCAAGTTACAGGCGCTGGCAGTTATCCAAAGAATGCTGTTACAGAAGTGCTCCGGCACAGCTGGGATGATAATGAAAAATAGCAGCCCAGAATAATGAAGTGAGTTAAAAAAATTGACCTTGTTTCTGTGAAAGGAGAATAGAAAAGTGAGAAGCCAGAGCTACTGCAAAATGCTGAGTGGGGAAAAAAATGTCAAAACATACCAGTACTGAATCAAAAACTTTGCTCTCAGTGGTGGAAGCAAGGGGAATACTCTAGGGAATCCCTTTGTCACCTCAGCAGATTTTGGCATCAGGCCCATTGCCGTACAGGACTGGAAATCAGCTACATTTTTGAACAGGCTTCGCAGTTCTAAAGGCATATGGTCCTTTCTTATTATGCCTATTATGCTTTACCAGCCTAATCCTATAACTTTGTTGGAGTTATAATTATTTGTTTCTATCCTGCCTTACTAAGCAAAAGTAAGAAAACAAAGACTTTGCTTGCTGTATGGTTGGTTTCAGCCCGTTGAGATGTATAGCAACAGTAAACAGACTGATTTCCTGTGAACTGCCATCTGCGTTCTTCTGACGTTCAGGAAAAAGCGCTGACAGTCTGCTTTTCCCCAGAAATAGCCAGTAGTTGTAGCATAGGCTTCTCACTAGAGCTCCTCAAAAAATTGCAAAACTGGTAAGAAATCTGCTCATCAGAACTTTTTTCCCCCCCTCTCTTTTCCACAGTTTACTAAAGGCGTACTTTTCTTTTTTAGGCTTAAATACAAAGTCAATAAGAATGTCAATAGTCACAGTCCAGCTTGGTCAGTGCGGTAATCAGGTTGGTCATGAGGTGTTTAATGCTATCTGCAGTGACGTCCGTGGCACACATGGGTTGTGCTCCAAGAAGGAGAATGAATCCTACCATGATGCTTGCAAAGAACGTTTTTTCAGTGAGGAGGAACCTGAAGGTACAGCATTTAAGTGTTTGCTTCCCACAGAGGGTCTGGTTTCCAACCTGATACAGATAAGAGTACAGAAATAATAAAAGTCTCTTATCTTCAGTTGAAGAATGAATTTTACCTTCAGTCTTGAAGAATTGTCACAACCCTCTGCCTTCACAACATGGCTAACAACCATGGAAGCAAAATCAGCGCAAGTAATGTGTCTGAGACCACAGAGCAAGTCTGCCAGCAACACAGCTGGAAACTGAGCATATATGCATACATAATCTTTCCTTCCAAACATCTGCATTTTCTGCTGTAGATAGATTATACCATGGAGTAGGGCCCAAAAAAGCTGTATTTGGTGTTATCAAATGCATTAAGTGGTTTCTTTCCTGAAAGATCTGTGGTCTCTAGAGTTCAGATTTGTCTTTGGAACAATGGATGGTTCTCCAGAAATCCAGGGCATTGCCAAGTCCTCCTTTCTGTACCCGCCTGTACTGTCCCATTAATAGTTTGGCTTACATGGGTGGGAGGAATACAATTTGGGCTGTGGTGCAAGTCTGTCCATCTTTATGTAAACAAGTTCTAATATTGGCACATTATTCTTAGCTTTGTTTTTCTTCCTATCCAGTACCTGTTGCCCGGGCTGTGCTTGTTGACATGGAACCTAAAGTAATCAGCCAAACCTTATCAATAGCTGCCAGGTCTGGCTGCTGGAAATACGATGATCGGTCGCACTTCTGTCAGAAGCAAGGGTCTGGAAACAACTGGGCGAATGGGTATGAAGAATTGTTTCAAGCTTCACTAAGGGAACTGTAGAGGCTAATGAGCTGTCTAGACTCTCTAGGAGCAGTACTATTGCAGTTGTGCCAGGTAAAGAGTATGTAACATTAACCTGATTTATTTTTAATTTAGAATAGCAATATATATAGCAGCAAAATTTCTAAACTGCTTTTTGCAAGGTGAAATTGGTATTTACAGTGAAAATGTAACATTTTAGAATAGAGTGAATATATTTAAGAATAGGAAACAATAAGCGTGGTTTATAAACGCCTATTTTGCAAAATGTCACAGCTGAGGATTGTCTACTGCAGATGGAATGGGTGATGTAATGTCAGGTTATATAAATAAGAAGAGTATCCTTTATGAATAGCTTCACCTTACTGCTTTTATTTTGAATTAACCTGCCATGTCTCGCTGTTTTGTCTTTTATGCAACAGGTACTCTGTTCACGGGCCTAGACACAAAGAAGTAATAATGAATCTGGTACAAAAAGAAGCAGAGAAATGTGATCGGCTCGGTGGATTTTTCACAATAATGAGCATGGCTGGTGGTACAGGATCTGGCTTGGGAGCATTTGTGACCCAGTGTTTAAGAGATGCTTTTCCAACCTCATTTATACTAAACCATGTTATCTGGCCCTACGGCACTGGTGAGGTGAATGTTGTATTGCCCAGAGATATTCTGCAAGTTATAATCACTATTTATTATTAAACATAAAATACCTGCAGCTGAAATAAACTAGAAGAGAGATACCTTTTACTTTTTAAAAGTTCAACGTGACAGAAAGTAACACAGCTAATGAATTGTTTGCCTAATATTTGGTACATGTCGTTTCACAAAAAAAACCCAACTTGATAATACAAGTGCTAAAATATAATACAGTTTCATGAGAAGCTCTATCAGCTAACTAGAAATCTCCTGTTATGATAGTATCTCAGCATTATAATCAGTTCCCAGACAGATTTTATTCTAGCATGTTTGTATGAACTGAGGATAACATGATTTTCACAGGTCTTGCTCTGTCCATGAAAAAGCTCTGCTAGCTCCTGACCTCATTCTGCACTTCGGCAAAGAAAAGTAATCACTTCCTAAATCATAACTGAGGAAATGCCAGTAGCCAGAGGATTATAAACTCGAAAGAGATTAAATTGTCTGACTCTCATTTGTGTGTATTTTTTGGTTGTTTGTTTCCAGGTCATTGTTCAAAACTACAACTCTGTTTTGACTCTGTCACATCTGTACCAGTCATCAGATGCCCTTCTTGTTCATGAAAATGATGTCATTCACAAGATCTGTGCTCAGCTGATGAATATTAAACAGATCTCCTTCAGGGATGTAAATCAAGTCATTGCCCATCAGCTGGGGAGTGTCTTCCAGCCCACGTACACAGCAGAAAGTGGCTTACGCTATAGCAGAAACCCATTAGGTATAATATAATATAATATAATATAATATAATTATAATATAGCTGCCTAATGCATTCTCACACCTATTTCTGTAATCATTTCATGTTGTGAATTTAAGTTCTTTGGTCTCCTTATTCAAGTATTCAGATACATCCCAAGTTTTAAGATATGAAAAGTGAAGCAAAAGACTAAATTAGAAGTTCAGTCAATTCAAAAATAGAACCCCAGCTTCTGGTTTCGTTCTTTACCAAAAGAACCCTGCTTCTCCTTTTTCAAGTGATTACAGACACCCTTGTACCTATTTACATTTCAGAGGAAATTTGTGCAGGACAGTAATTTTGGACTGGGTTTTACATTTCACATTAGGTTAGAAGTTTCTACAAACTGAAACAAAATGAAAGTTTTGTGTTTTGCTCAGGCAGAAGACAGGCTAGCATACAACTTGGTAGAAACAAGCAACGAGCTGACATTGGCATCTTTAAGGGATTAAAGAAAGTTACCCATATTGCCAAGAGTTTTGCTTGTAAAATTAAATTTTCACATCTGTCTGTCAATCTCTTTAGCAGTGCATAGGGTCTCTGAGATTTTGAGCCAGACTATGAAGTGAGACAAGTCTAAATTGTAAAATAAGAGCTACTAACATGCTTGAATAGAACTCAGTAGTATGTAGCAAGTTTGCATTACTTTGTCTGATGTGTGTCCATGTATTTGTCAAATTAAACCTTTATATATCCTTTGTTTCTTACCTTAAATTGCTAGATCTTTGTAAAATTCCTCTCTCTCTTCTCCTATTTTAGCTAGCCTATGCGATATTTTTGGCAGAAATGAGCAGCTGTTAATTTCTTCTTTCAGGAGACTTAATGGAGGCGTTAGTTCCACATCCCGAATTCAAGATGTTGGGTCTTCGTAACATACCTCAGATGCCTGAAAACTCCCTCGCTTATAGCACATTCACTTGGCCTGGACTCATCAAACATTTAAGGCAGATGCTCATTGCTAATGCTAAAATGGAGGAAGGTAAAAAGCATTCACTCATCTTCAGTATCCATCACTCTTCAAGCATTTATTTTTACAGATGAAATAAAGCTTATTGTTTTGTGGAGCTCACTGACGAGCCTTAGTCAGTTCAGAAACAAGCTGCTGCCCTCAGACACCAGGAATTTGCCTCTACATAGCCAGCTGCTCCTTCAACTATTCACTCAGCTGCCAGAGAAGCTCCTGGCTTGCTCCTGTTTTTGCTCCAGACATCTCAGTTAATTATAACTATTGAAAAGACACAAAACAAACAGTTTTAGGCTGTGCACATAATTTACATGATTAATTTGGAACGTTCCTTGGATAGTTAGTTCTGCTACGCTTTTTCTTTCTACACCTTCTACTAATAAAAATCATGCTTAGCTCTCCCATATCATTTACGTGGGGAATTCAGTATAGCTTCCAGTTATGCAAAGAATGGGCTGGCAGATTGCTAAGTATAGAAACAAGTATCCTTTTCTCTGGTAAGACTAGCGGCTACCAGGCAAATACCGCTGGATTAGCACTGTTTTTCTCTAAGAATTGTGTAATTGCTGCTTGACTAATGTGCAGAAGCTACAAACTCTGGTATGATCTCGGCTTGGGGCACAGTGTTAGTTACCATCTGACTCTTCAGCTAGTCTGAATCCATATTTCATGAAACATTAACTTTCTTTTATCTCTTTTTTGCCAAAATCTCATAGGTATTGATTGGCAAGTACGGCCACCGCGTCTAGGCTCCTCCATCGCCTCCAGTCATTCCACAAACAAGCCGCTGCATTTCAATACTTCCATTGCCAACCTGGTTATCCTGCGAGGAAAAGATACGCACAGTGTAGACTTAGGTAAGAAGGAAAAACACGGTACCTCAGTGATTCTTGTTTGACATCTCACTGTTTTCTTTGCAACCATATCTAATGAAAGTGGAAAAAACCCAAGGCCACATATTTGACTCCTAAGGTCAATATTCCCTCTAGAAACATTTTAATGCCCAAAGCCATGTTGTCTAATTGCTTAGGGCTGTTGTCTTTACAGCTGAGACTTCTCTGTTTCCTGAAGCACTTCAGGGAAGGAGGAAGAGACTGAAGTCTGTATATACAATAGGATTCTTGGCTATATTGTCTGAAAATATATTTAGCTGCTTCTGGAGTGATGAGCATAGCTTGCAGATGAAGTACCAGTACAAGAGTATGCTTCTAGATAACCTGATGAATCTGTTTAAAACAGTCACATTTTCAACAGGCTGACCACTCTGCAGATTTTTTTCAAGGCCTGAATTGATCTGCCGAGCATTGATTAGGTCCCACAGGACTACGGAGATCAAGATGTAGGAGCTTGTAGCTTTACATTTGTCAAAAGGGCTGTCTTATTTCTGCTACAGGAAGTTTCCGAGATCCCTCATTATACACATCGTGGCTAAACCCTCAGGATGCTTTTAATGCCTGGAAAACACCAAGAGCATTTAACAAGTATGAAAAGTCTGCTGCTTTGGAAAGCAATAGCCAGTTCCTGCTGAAAAGCTTGGAATATGTTTGCTTCCAAGTAAGTGAAAATAATTATGCTGATACTTCATTTGTAACTGCCAATATCTTCAGTGTTAGCAAAATCATTGTAAATACAGCTCGCTCTTTCAGCTAAGTACAGTAACGGTGAATAAGCATGAAGACCGTTCCCACACTTCAGTGGAAACATTTTTATGCTTGAAACATGATGGCAGGGTGAGGAACACAGTACAGTGCTTATGTTCTGTGGATAAGTGAGACCACATATTCTAGTGCTGTCAGTTTGACTATTTTCTCAGTACTAAGACTTCCCAAATTTAGTGCATTCCAGCATGACCATTCTAAAAATAACAGATAGAAACTCTTCCACTGATCATATAGTTTCTAAATTGCATACAGACATGCCGCACACTCCAGGAAACAAGTTCCTGGCTCAGTTCAAAAGCATTTAGGGGATTTGTGTGTTTAGTAAGTCTCCCGTGCTATTAGTTTGATTTTTCATTAGAACCAAGATATCTAGAAAATAATTGCCTCTTTACTTTGATCATCATGAAACCCAGGTTACTGCATGTCACAGCAGATGTCTGCTAAACACGAGTTTCTAGCACAGGAATTCTGAATTAAAAGCCAAAGGAGGAAAACTGCTTCCACTAGCTTAGCTCCTGGTTTTACCATGTGTTACAAAAACACCAGTGATGAGAAGCAAGCTATCCCGCACACACAGGTTTAGGCTTTGCATCTCAAATCTATAAATTACTTTTCTCATTTAACAATCACTTCTCCTTCCATTTCCCAGTTAGCCCAATTTTGTTAGTCATAATTTTGTTTCCTTAAGCAATACATAGTTATAAAAGCTATTAGAAACAAGTCACGACTTACCAATAAGTATGAATTACAAAATGAGTTCAAGAGAGCACAGTAGAAAAAGCCAGCGTGGTTATTGGGTGGAAACCAATCTTCATTTGAAGTTATTACAATAACTATATAATGTGATTTCACGTGTCAGATTCTTCACTGATTTCTGATGTCTAATCCATTTTCCTACTGTGACTTCAACACACAGAGCCTATATTCACCAGTACACTAAATTTGGCATTGAAGAAGAAGATTTCCTGGACAGCTTCACAGCTCTGGAACAAGTTATCTCCAGTTACACCACCCTTTGATTTTTTTTTTTTTTTAAATGGTCTGAAATAGAACTTTTCTGAAGGAACCCAGCGCTGGAAAACCTTCCACCGACTTCTTGAAGTATATAAATTACTGGACTGTAGCTATTTTTCAGTCTTGTAAGCAGTGTGTGCGTGTGTTAGAATAGTAAGAACTGAATCAGAACTGAATATATTCATATGGGCAGGTATTATTCATATTTAATATATCTAATAAATAGCTATTTTTCAATACTTTTGATACGTACTGTAGGTAACTTTGGACATCATTTTTGGCACTTGGATATTTTTCATCAAGAATGTCTATACAGAAGGATTTTTCTCCAGACTAAACTCTCAGCATCTAAACTATCATGAACTAATGTGTGATAAAAATCGTGTGCTTGACTCCAGTAGTAAGGCATTCATGATCCTCCAATTTCAATTTTTCATGATAACACTTGGCCCTAGAATGCTTCAATATTGATCAAAATGCACAGAATCAGAATTATTAACCCAAACTCCATTGGGCTGTCATTCAAGAGCCCGTAGTCTGCCACGTATTCCTTTAAAGCGAAGTAAGACCTAAATTCTACTTTAAGGACCTTAACCTTGACAAAAATAGCGGAAGTTTTGAACCATCTTTTAAAAAAGGCATGAAGGGTTCTTAATTTTCCTGTCAACCTCAAGTTATATTAGAGATTATAATGAATTGTATGCTTTTCTGGCCATTTCACTGTGCCATGTTTTGAAGTAGTGTCACCTACCAATTGGAAAAAAAAAAAAAATCCCTATAGCACATCAGAGGTCTTGGCTATTTGTTATAGGCAAACCGTAGGTTTAGGCAAAACTACAACTCTTGCTCTTCTTCCTAGTTAGAAGCAGGTAGTTTTTTTTAATTAATTTGTTATTTATTTAAACAGATTTGGGAGGAGAACTGCTGGTAGATTTCAGGTGTAAGAGCCTGTAATATAATATAATACATATAATAGGTTCCATAATTTCAAAAGTTGATTTAAGAAACGGGCTCTTTTTTGCACACCTTTTACCACGACCACAAGGTGGTGCCCCTGTGAAGCCGCAGCCTGCAAACACTCGGCTGCACCGGCCGGGCAGGAGGAGGAGATTGCACTGGCTTGCGGGGCCACAGCCTGAGTGCTTCTAAAAGAGTGCGGGAGACCTAAGGATTGTGTTGTAACACCGAGCTTTCCTCCGCCTCTGTTAGCTTTTCACTTAATGGTAGGGAGAGCTTTGGGAATTCTTGCCATTCCTCCCCCATGTCACGCTGTTCTCCCATGGAAATAATTAAATAGGTATGCCAAGAATAAAAATTTAAAAAGCAGTCTCCAGGACTTCTCCCTTGACGAGTGGACAAATCTCATAGTTTCCCTTTAGGTTTTCGTGCTGTTTCATGCCAGGCCTCTGAGCTTTTACCTAAAAGATGAGCACGCACGTAGTATGATGCTAAATACGTTAAAGACGTTTTCAATATGGCTAACGATACCCACATAGAAATCGTGCCCTGTTAGCAATTCTGGTTTAAATTTTAAATCGTCAACGAATTAACGCAGTGGTAGATGCAGAAGTGACCTTGTAATTCTGCTAGGTTTCAGTTAGAGCACAGCAGGCGCTCCGTATTACTCTTATCTTTATTTCCTTTCCTGGTTTCATTTACCTCTTCAACTTTTGGTCAGGCCAGGTACTGGAGCACTAAAATCCCCTCCTGGAGCACCTGTTCTCAAACCAGCTCTGGCACATGACACCTGGAACGGCAAACAGACTTCTTGACAAGATTCAAGTAACTGTACGATTGAATCTGAAGAAAATAAGTAAGTACTGGGGCTAAGTTCACAATTGCTCAAATATGCCCGTAGTAAGAGCTGATCACTGGCATGGTTGTGTCAATGCAAGCCACAATGGATTCTGAGAAATTTCACGGTAGCTTATAGACAAGCGATGTTAAGCTCTCGTGCCTTCCAAAAAAAAAAGTTTCAACTGCCTGTTAGTAGCAGGGCAACTGTCAGCACACGTTAGAGTTGAGTCTAGCCCTGGTTCATGCAGAAAAATTACCTGTGTAAATTAAGAGCTACATTGGTGCATCAATTCAATAGCTAAATCATTTAATATACAAGGGAAGGAGAATCATTCGTGGGGCGGGTGGGGAGAACACAAGAGAGACAGCAAAGAGCAGAGAGCAGATAGGGTAAATATACCGAATAACTTCTTATATAAAAAGATACTTGGTATTTATGGCAAAACATTTTGACAATGTTCTTCTGCAGACCACAGCAGACAGTCCAACAACTCACTCTGGTTTGCTATCTGTTTTCACTCAGCTGCTCTAATTCCTGGTTTAGGAACTCCCTCTCAAAAGGGGAAGACACAATAATCATAGTTCAACTATTCAGCCATACTTCAAGCCCTATACTGCTCAGTAAAATTTGAGTTGTTTGGAAGTTCAAAACTACATATAACTTTTGTTATAAAATATTACTTGTTATTTTTTTCACTAAATCACTTCCTGGCAGCTCCGAGCTGGGGGACTGTTCTGATCCAAAGGGCTTTTCTAGTGGTGTGGTTTTGTCAGTTTCAACCATTGCCTTTCACTTGGGTATTTTCACAGAAGAAACTGGAGGAAAGATTGCACAAGAAGTTAAGATAAACAGCACTGGCAATTCAAGTCTGCAAGGAACAAAGGGTCAGGAAAGGAGACAGTACAGTGAGGTTCTCCCTCCTCCCTCCTCCAAAAGGCACAGGATGTTTAGCAACATAGAAATAATTTTCCCTAGTGTTTTCAACAGATACCAGACTGAGAACTTCTTCCAGTATCAGAAATGCAAATAGGTAATTCCATGTCTTAAAAAATTACCAAGTCCCAGGAATGCATACTCTTCCTCATTGTTCCACAGGACAGGTAAGAGAGATCTTTGAAAAGCTAAGGACAGATAATTCCTCTCAGAAACAAGGAAGAGAGCAATGGGTTGTTTTACTGCTACATTGATAAGTAACTTTATTGCAGAAATAACCTTACGTTATCTCTAGGTAGTTATAATTCTGAGCATGAAGCAAATACAAGCAGGCGCTTATTGCACCTATGGATGACATAGACCCATTTATCCATTCTTTATAAGTACATTTATTATTTATGGCTAATGTTAACTTTTAGTTAATGGAGCAGGATATTTGAGGTTTTGTTTGCTTACGTTTGATGGCAGAATTTGGGCCACATCAGGAAACACAGCACGCAGCTAACATGTATAAACCCAAAGCAAAAATAAAAATTGCCTTATTTATAGTTATAACATATAAAAACATGGAGGAAAGATTCTGCACCTCAAAGACACAGCTAGGCCAACAGGTTCATTATACTTAACAAGGATACTTCTGTAAGGACTTGTTCACAGTTAGGATTCAGGGAAAATACTCCTACTTCCATGGGAGAACAAAGTTTTTCAAAGCAGCAATAGAGGATCACAACCATCAGCCAAATTTTGACAACACAGATTCCTCAAAACTAAAAAAAAAAAAAAAAAGGGGGTGTATGTGAAAACAAAAGTATAACTGTTGTATTAGCTGTTATAAGCCCTTTCATTGCTCTGGAAAAGAGATCGACAGGAATTGTTTTAGGCATCTCTAGCCTTCTTCCTGTTAGTGTTTTTCACTGCTGACCTCAGTTCTGAAATTCTCACACCCTTTCCCAAACGAAGCCTTCATTTTTTGATCTATGGCTGGATTCCTCTTTTTTTTCCCCAGGATGTGGAGAGGAGAGGGTCAAAGTGACAGGAAGTGAATAGCTATTACCGAATTTTCATCATCTACAATTATATTAGAAGGCGAAGTAGTCATTTTCTGTTTTAGTGAGAAAATTAATTATGTAAAGAATAGTCTGAGCCTGGAAGAGGGCCTTTATCTCATTGGAAGTTAAAGTTAATGAGGTGGATCAAAGGTCAGCACAAGCCAATGGCTCAGAGGCAGGGACAACAGAATCAGTGGCCTTGACCTAGCTAGTTCTAGGTGAACTACCCACAGGATGTCCATAAATGAAGGAACAATGCGTCAAATCTCACTGTTGTTTTTTGTAACAGACAGGTGCAGCTCACTTGGAAGTTGATTCAAGGACTCTAACTATAGCAGATATGTTTAATGAATAGGATAACTTTTATTTAGCCACAAAAAAAAACAGGAACAAAAATTAACCTGTTACAAATACTTTAAACATAATAACCGTCTGGGAAGTGACAGGGCACTGATGTAGTTATAGATACTTATAGAGTCTTAGTGTAAATATATAAGGAACTTTTAAGAGGATTACCTGCACAGATTTACCAAACTGGAACAGCTCAAGATGAAGGGCAAAAATCTGTGGTTTCCACAACAACTAGGATTTTATCAATAAGAAAGAAGTAAGTTATGTTCAAATTACCAGCTGATACACTACTAGGACATATTAAGGTACAAAAGGACAGTGAATTAATAATTCGTGTCCTTCTGCATTTGTTAATAAATTTAGTATAGATAAATATTACGAAATGAGGGACCAAATATCCAAAAGGAAAAATCGTCAGATGTCAAAGCGTACTTTAAAGAAGTCTGCATTTTGCTGGATACCACTTTAAAAATTGCACGAGTCATCAGGAATGTGATTCATGGATCTGATACGGTACAAAAAACTTCCAAAAGGCATTGAGCTGCTGCCTTTCCTCCACTGCTTTCAAGGGCAGCCCAGACACAGCCTTACCAAGGCAGCAAATTCCAGCGTAGGCTTCCTCCTCAAGCCTGCTGCCTCTGGCCTTCCTACCCCACCTCCGTCCACGCTCCAGAAGCACAGCCTGGACACTCAGCCAGCCTTTAACTCGCGGGGATGTAGAGCTGATAATCCTGAATTTTAACTATAGAGCCTTTCCGGCTCTTTCAGTCAAACTCGGAGTTCACAATGGTCCCTTCTGATTTCACATTGTATGAATCCTCTCCCTCTAGACAGCCACTTCCCCTCTGTCCGGGTGGGGGAATGAGTCACCTAC